GCCAGGATACGGTTTGGTATGGGGAGGGTGTGCAAGTGTCGTTTTGAATCTTCCGGGATGGAAGTTTGGAAGTTGGTTTCGCACGAACAAGAAGATGAAAAGAAATTTGACTCGAAGGAATCGACTCGATTATATTGAATCTTTCAATCGCCTTCGAAGTCGTTTGCGAAGAACGGAATTGTTTGTTTAGAGAAAATAATAATAAGTGTTTCGAATTTTTAACTTTGTGGAAGCGAGAGAAGAAAAAATTCTTACGTTTTAAAAAGAAATTGATTTGAACTTTCTTTCTCGAATCTTTTCTCGTTGGTTGATGAGTTCTAGTAGCTCTTTGTCGCGAAGATTGTTGCATGTTATGGATTATTATTGCGAAGGACGAAATTGCTTGTCGAAATTGCGGTGTGTAAAGACTAGTGACGAGTTAGGTGAGTAGACGAGAAAGAACGTTGTTTTAAATTTAGAGTCACTTAGTCAGCGCATGCTCAAAAAGAATTTAATAAGAGATACGACTTTCGTTGATTTCTGGTCACGTATATACACGTTAAGGTGCGATCCGTTTGACAAATCCGTTTCGAAAATTTACGAACCTCTGTTTAACTTTCTTTCGACATTTATAGATACACAACATCGTTTCAAAAAAAGGAACGAAATTAAATTCTCATCCGAATGATTCTACGTTCAAATTATCGTTGAACTCTTACATATCCTTCCCTTTCTTCTATCCACATAAAATAAGTCCTATCTAAAACAGACGTAAAACTTCATGTTCCGAATCGTTAACGTCCATCCACGAACTTACGATCCCGGTACATCGCGTATCGGAAAAGGAACGATCGTCGAACGACTCTATAAAACGCAATCCGTGCGATTTCGATCCTCCTCGAGCCATGTCGAATCTTCTCGATCGCCGTTCATGCAAAAGAAAACGAGAGATTCAATGATAGAAGACGAACGACTCGTCCCTTTGACGCGGGCGTTCACGCATGAGAGGACAGCTCCTTCTTTTGGAGCATCGCCGGTGGGCAATCAAGAAGGATCGTGGAAACGGCTCTGACCGTTTCGAGAACACACACGTTCCGAGCAATGCGCCACCAATTTATGATACACGAGCAAACGCGTGCACACACTGGATCGACCCTACAAACCCAACAGCACGTGTAAACGTACACCTGCTCTCACGCTTCATCCAAAGTATATATCCATCTATCTATCCTAATACGCGTCTATCCTACACATACACACGCGTTTACGTCTGCCACGTATGGACGAAGGCAAAGCTACCGTGGCTCGCCTCAGCCTTATAGATGCCTCCTCCTCTCCAACCCCCATGTAAGGGTGGAGCTCACGAAGAGAAAATCCTTTGGCCAGCGAAGCTTGGATAATCGCGCCTCCGAGCTATAGTCGCGCCTCTTCGCCGAGGAGGAGAGAGAAGCCACGCTTTGCTGCAATTGCACCGGCTGCCCATCCGCGTGGAAATCATAGCTCGCTGCGGGACTCGAAATTGTCCGGAAACACTCGGATTCTTCTTTCACCGAGGGGGGGGGGGGGCTGATGGCGAAAGGGTATGGGTTCAACTTCTTCGGGGATTTGAACGTAAAGGGGTCGACGACGATATCTCTCTCTCTCTTTTTCTCTCTTTGTAATTCCACGAGCAGCTTCGTAGTGCGAGAGAGTCGCGAAAATCGAAATCGGATCTGGGTTAGGGAACGGCGTGGAACAAACCTTGAACAAACTACAGTCGTCGCTACGAAGGACTATCGAAGGAACGATCTTTGGACACGGTTGATCGGGATGACTCCCTCTTTGTGCCGGGATCGACATATGTCTCGTGATATCGATCTATACCTCCGAGGGGAGGTTTCTTCTTCTTGGTTAGATTTCTATTCCTGCTTCTATATCCACGATTTTAAACTATTTATCTCGCGAGCTTGTATTATCTTTGTTGAACTCGAATAAATGTTCGTTTGTACAGTAGTTGGATATCGATCGATTTTAAACGTCGATTCGAAACGTAAAGGTTTCGAATTTCTCAAACCTTCGCAAACCTGAACAAATTTTTGAATGATATACGCCTTGTGTGTGAACAGAAATTAGTGGAAAAATTTCGAAAACGGGGAAATGAAACGAGAGAAAACAAAGATCGAAAACAAGATTGCCATCCGTTTCTTCGTTGATCGTCCGTCCGAGCCGAACGTTGTATCCGCGGATCGTTCGAGGGTAAATCCTCGCGGATAATCCCCTCGGGGGTCAGGGACCGGTTACGGAAGTGGCATATTGTGAAATCTGACGGAGAGAGCAGCGATGCTCGAGGTTCGAGGCTCACAGACTCGTCCGACGTTGGTTGGATGGTATTAGATGTCATCGCGAGAGAGATTACGCGCCGCTTTGAAAGAGCCCTCCTCCCCCCTCCACGCCATCTCCCTCTCTTCCCTCCTTCTCTCGCCCTCCCCTCCTCCCCCTCGCCTCTCCACACCGCACACAACCTTTCTTCTCCAGAGGTGCACCGCTATTTCACCTACCACGACACGTACTTTTCTCCAACGTTTGTCGAGAGACGCGCGTTTCTTCTACCCCTCGATATTCAACCCCTCCCCCTTCCCCCCTCCCCCTCCCCCAGGCGAACCCCTGCGGAATCGAAGGGAGCCAGCTCTCATATCCCATTTGCCCCTATTTTTCATAAGCGATATTAGAATCTATCATCGAGACCCGGCAGGCACTCCGCTCGAGAGAGCGGAGGGCGGAGGAGGGGGAGGACGAAACGAATCGAGGGGGGAGAGGTCGGATACCGGTTAAAAAAAGATAGAGAGGCGGCCGATTATCGGGCCTCGGGCGGGGTGCGCCCTCGATCGCTGACGATTATCGACCCCCCCATTCAACCGACGACGTGAATGGATCCCCTCTCCCCTTCCCTTTTGGAACCCAGACCCTTTCCATTTCTTCTTTACGTCTTCCTTCTCTATCTGTCCGTGTCTGTCTCCTCTTCCTTCCAAGAGATGGCGAAAGTCGTAGCGCCGCAGGCCTGATATTTCATTCATCCAGACGATGGATCGTCTCTATACTCGGATCGATCAATCGATCCCTTCCTCCCTCGAGCGGTTTCGCTCTTTTGATCTTTGCGAATGTTTCGTGTGGATTTTTAAATACGCATCGAAAGTGATTTATTTTTGTTCTTCGATTCGAACGAGATAAAAATCAGAGACGAGACATTAAAAATGATATTTTCGTCCTATCGTTTTCAATTGTTGATTGATCAATCGTTTAATACGCAGTACAATATTATTTCCAATTGTTTCGACAAAGTAATTCAAACTGAATATCATGATACCATCGTTAACGATCATCGACGATAATTTATATCGCGAATTATTGGTGTTGAAATAATATCTTTTACGCATCATGCATCACCGAGAGAAATTCCAAAAAAAAAAAAAGAAAAAAGAATTGGTTTCTATCGCTGATTTCGTAACTATTCTATCGCTGCTTATCTCTCGATCCACAGCTATCATTTCGCCAAAACGGAAACGTGGAGTGCCGCGAAAGATATTCGGAACGACCTTCGACCACTTGGAAAGAAAGAGCACGATAACAGATGGTGTTATGCAAATTTCGCCTTCCTATTTTCTCTTTTTCGCTCGATTGCGGCCGCTATTTCTAATCGAGCCGCTATGAATTTACATTTTTCCTATTTTTCCCACACGGAGGACCAGAATTCCTCCGATCGTTTGTACACGTGATACGAGGGCCGGATGTAAATGCTACCCGTTTCGATTCCTGGCACGCATCCCCCTCTTTTATTCTTTATGTTAATCGCACCTGAATAAAGGTTCTGCGTAACCGGACATCGTGATCGATCCCGCGCCACGCGTGATAAGATTCGGTAAAATTCGAAGAGGCTACTACAGAATTCCCCTGAAAATCGATAACACGGCCTCTAGTTTTCGTAGAGTTTAGAAGGATCTAAACTCGATTCCTAATGCTATTGCATTCGAGATATTCGAGAATCACGGATATACTTTCTTCTTATTCATTATCTAGTGAAAAAAATTTTAAAAAATCCTAAACGCTCTTCAGACAAAAATTCCAATGTCCAGTCGCGTTGCTAAGAATTCACACACAAAAAAAAAAAGAAAAAAAACGAATGTCCCTTCATCGCAACAAAAATTCAATCGCAAAGATATAGCATCCAATCCTCCCGAGAAATTCCTCGTTTCGACAAGAAACGATCTAATTTCGCGGGAAGTATTTAATAAATCACCCTTTTCTCGGAAACGAGAAAAATTTCACCCAACCAATCGACCGACCGACCGGCCGACCAACGTCTTCCGACCGTGTTCCTCACCGCGTAAGCGGTTACCAAGAATTTTCCATCGTTTCCACGGAAATTCCGATACGATATTCCCCCCGTATACGTCTCGTTTCGGATGAAAAACAGGGGGAATGGAATCCCAGTCGACGGGTGCCTCAAACGGCCCCGTTTCTTCGTTCGAAATTCGGCAAGAAAGGGGGTCGGACGCGTGCTTCAATCGCCGCGCGCAATCACGCCGCCGCGATTAACGAGCCGATTGATCGCCCCGTCAAATTAATGTTATTTATCTTCGACTGGATCGAAGTTGGCGCGTTGGGCGTCGCGCGTATTACCGTAATTACTAATTATAGTTTCGAGCCAGCCTCGTTAATTACCCGTTCTCGTTGGATGAAACGCGCGAGTGAAACACGCGGCTATTATTGACTCGCTAAATAGAGAACAGTCTCGGCCATATTTTCAGCGTATTTGCCCGCCGCGGGAAACTTGCGTGCCACGCACACACTGCGTAACGAAATTTCGCCCGCGGACAAGCGACGTCAGCAATCGTATGGCGTGAAACTCTGACGTTTTAACGATCGCCGGTGATTAAACAGCAATTAACCAGCCTGGCTGGTATCGGATTATTGCTGGCCGGTCGGTCGATCGATCGATCTATCCCCCCCTTCATCCCGGAGAAGAAAATTTTTTTTCCACTCACCTCTGTGCCTGTTGGTCTGTTTGTCGAACATCAGCATGGCGTCCTCGATCTGTAATTCGAATTGAAACGAATACGTCAATCGATTTTTCGTGTTGAACAAGAGAATTATAATCTTTCTGGTACAAAGATAATCGGTCGTTAACTTGAAATTTGTTATTCATATATGGTTATAAAAATTGACCGGATATTTTTGTACATCGTACATACGTCGTATAGATATCAAGTTGAGATATCAAGTTATATAAAATTCCAACGGAATCCAACTTGGCTACTGAGTTTTAAATTCAAGTCATATAACACGTGTTCTATTAATCGATAATAAAAACGTCACTTCCAAGAACGGAGATAAAATTTTTCCCCAGATTTCGTACAAACGATCGCGTTACAAACAACGCGTGATAAATGCGGGGGGTGGGAGAAAAGAAAAAAAAAAAAGTAGAAGCGAAGCGCAACAAGACGTCAGAACTTAACGTCATAAATTAGTAGCGACCCTCGCCTCGCCTCCACTGAAAAAACAATCCCTCCTCTACGTGTCGGGAGTCTAAAGTGGCGGCGGTGGCAAAAGGCGTTACGGATCGTAAACAAGAACTGTCGAGAAACGACATGCCGAGAAACAGGGGGGGGGGGGGGCGACAAATATTTCTTAAACGACGATTGCTTTGTTTCGTAAAGAGAACAACAGTTGATAAATTTTTTTCTTCCGAACCGATCGACGATAATGGTAATAACAAAAAGAAGAAGAAGAAGAAGAAGAAAAATCCAATAGTTTCAGGATCGAACGTTAACCTAACCCTGCGGGGCGAGGCGGGGGTGGGTGGTTAGGGTTAAAACCCCGTCGAATCAGAGATAGGATCGCTTGTATTCTTGCCGGAAGTACATGTGTGCCGTAAAACACAGCTGGACCGAGATTTACGAAGCGCGCCACCGAGAAAGGCGTGTAGCAAGGGGATCGGGGATAGCAGGAGTTAGGGGGGGGGAAGGAGGGCGAATTGTACGACGGGGGTGTGTTGTCGGTGAACCAAGTGCGAGGAGAGAGGGAAGAGAAAAGCGGGGAAGCGTAGGGGGAGAGGCTACTAGGATTTATGGGACAGGAGAAACAATAGGGATTACCCCCTTCACCCACCCCCTCGCCGCCCTTTCGAGCCGGTCTCCGCTTTGTTCCTTCCCACTTCCTGCGAGAGGACCGCAAGCACGAAACGATAGAAGTAGAGGCGGCCTTGCTCCACCAACACGTGAGAAACGCTGCTGGAATTATCCTCCAGCGAGAGGAGGAAGAAAGGAGGAGATCAAAATCGAAAACGGGAGAGAAGGGGAGAGGAAAAAAGGGAGAGAAAAAACCGGAGGCGGTCTCGTAACGAGGGACGTAAATATTAGATTATGCGATTAACATTCGATGAACTTGGCGAGGCGGGGGGAAGTTTTCATCTGTCGCGCGTAATTCCGTTTGTCACCGGTTTATCATCCGATAATATCATCCCCGGCGAAAGTAACGAAGAGTCGCGTTTGATTTAGGATGCCGCGCACGAAAATGTTGGTCAACGGAAGTAAAAGTAAGCTTGTGTTCTCCTTGTTTGGGGAGAGGAGGAGGAGAGAGAGAGAGAGGAGGGGGGGAGGAGTGGATTGAAATTAATCGGTCGGAACGAAGGGAATTCGGCAGGAATTTGAGTGAAAATTTCGGCTACCATTGTTAGCGGGTGTTTCGGGTATTCGCTGGTAATTGAAATAAAAGGTTCTCGATAATAGGATAAATGGGACAAAGAAACACGTTAAATCGGAAATTTTGATTCCGGATGTTTGGATTATTAAAATGTTTTCAATACGATAGAAACGATTGGGTAGAGGTTGTGAATAAACTGTGGAAACTCCGCAATTGTATAAAGTTGTATCGTTATCCGATTTGGGAAAACGGGAAGCGATCGTGTTTATTATTCGGGGTTTTCGATCGATTTAATTGGAATTGGAATTAATGATTAGATTAATGATTAGAAAATTTGTCGAGAGATTTTTTTGTTTCGAACTTTCGGCGCAACTAAAGCAACATTTCAAAATTGTCGTATTTACGAGGAGATTGATACCGAGACATTTGTCCGCGCCATACTCTGTATTTGAGACCCTTCCGCTCTCGACGCAGGAGGTTTGTTTGAATATCGTTAACTGTTTCACGGACGCGACACGCGAGGGTTGAAAGCGAAAAAAGCACCGACCAACAGCTTGTTCGTCGAGACCCGACTCGCTACAGCTAACGAGAGAGCAGTCACGTGTAAGGTTTACAGACGCAATAGCGTCTTCAATGAAGAATGACTCAAAGCGTGATCGTTTTATCGTGGGACCTTATTTCTTTCTTTCTCGCGAGAAGAAAGAAAGAAAAAGAAGAAGGGGGAGGAAGAAAGAAATTAACGCCAGCGAATCGATTCTTTGTGGACGTGGTGAAACGTATCCTCACGTATCTCGAAGATGATGATTATTCATCGAAATAATTCACGTTCTGTTGCTTTGAAAGTCATACCAAGGAATTGAGTCTCTTAGACAACATTCGTCCTGTTTTTTTACTTTCAAAAGAAAGAGTAATATTATACTTCTAAAAGAAGGGTTGAATGAAAGAGAAAGAAAGAGAGTGAAGCTTTTAATAAAAACAGAGGAGGTATCGCAGCGTGAGGGAAGACTGACACCAGGGACCCCTCGCCATCGCCAAGTCTTTGCCTTCTCCCGCTGTTTTTCACAAAGTGTACGTCTTTCCATTATTTTTCTTGTTGTTTTTCCTCTCCTCTCTCTCTCTCTCTCTTTTCGTCTCGTAACGTACACCTTTATTATTACTAACACACGATGCGTTTTTGCCAGTTAAATCAAAGTCTCGGCATTCCTTCGTTTGACGATCCTCGATTTTCCTATCTATCGAAAGATTTCTCTTTTAGTGGATAACGTCGATTAAATGAGATCAAGGCGGAAGTTTTGTGCGGTGTAGGAAGCCGTAACGCCAACACGAGATCCTATTTGATAATGTATCCATGAAAGAAAGTTTAAAGGGAATGACTCGTGGGTGGGTTTCACGTAAAAATAGACGTCTGAATAATCGATAGACGTGGGACGCGAAGCGAGGGTGGCGAACACGAAAAGGGGATGATTCGATCTCTCGAAGTAGGAAAAACGATATACAATTCAATTCGATGAAAGCCAAGATATTCCGGTACAAGTGGAAAACAAAAGGTTAAGTTCCATACCGACGTGGTTTAATAAATATTTGAAATGTAATTTAAGTTACTCGTGATAAAATCGTGAAATCAAGTTTTCAATTCAACAGAATTATTATCTGAAAGAAAAGTGAGAGCTAGAATCAGGAATAATCTCTTATCATATTTCCTATGTATATAATTTTTTATACGTAGTTGTAACTTTTCCTTTTATTGCGTGTTAATTAAGAATCTCTAAACCGCATTATTCCAAATTTAATACTTTCTACGAGACACTTTTATCTCTTTCCTCGATAAAAGTAAAATCGCGTAGCTTTTATCATATATATATATATATATATATAAAATATTAAAAGAATAAAAAATTTCACGGATTGCAAGGAGACTTGTTTGCACAGGTGTAATTAAAAATAAACACTCGAAATGAAACAATATAAATTCTTAAAAGATCCTTCGGCCTCGAGGTTGATCCCTTTGATCATTCCAATATCTGGTTAGTCGCTCGGTGTTCCGTTAAACAAAGAAAATTGTACCACATTTCCCCGACGCGAAATTATTTCAACTTTTCTGCTCTTTTGCCTCTTGCCGGCCCACGTAATATCCTTGGGGCAAGAATGGCAAAACCCTTCCCGATATACTTTGATGTCCTCGAGTTGTTCGACGGAATCAGCCCCCGGCTTCGACTCGTTGAATCGATATTAATCTTTCTCTCTCTCTCTCTTTCTCCTCGATCGTTCCTCATGATTTTCTTCTCGTGCCTTCGCGCTCGAGTTATTGCATTCTCGTTTAAGCGACAATTACACGAAACGTTTCGTCGATTTTAACGCAATTTTTTCATCGAGTGTACAATTTACGAAATATCATGGATTAATAAAAATAAGTCGTTAGTATTTAGATTATTAATTATTCTCGCGATCGAAGTTCAAGAATCAAGATATTAATAATTCGTGGAAACATGTTAATTTTCATCTTTTTATGCTGCATATAAAACGCACGATTGAAAATATATTTTTAGTATCGAAAGTTAATCGAGAAACCGAGATATTCCGCGTGCACGAATTCTGAAAATAATTACGCCATCGTTCGATAAATTCTTCTCGATAAAATGATTACACGTTCCCAACTGTGAAATAATGATCACAAAAAACCTATGTGGAAATCTTTTAGCGATACAAACAGTAAGAACGCCCTGCATAATCAGAAACACGACAGGAAACTTTAAACTATCCCCCCATTCCCCGCGATTTCTCATAAATATTCCGGTGAAATAATTTTATAATTAATTATAATCACCCTTCCCCTCCCCCATTCGTTTATTTCGAGGACAATGAACAAATTAATAACGCGAAGAAATAATAGTCGTTCTAATGGGATTTAAAGCGACGTCGCAATTTCTCTTCGGCTCCCACCTTCCCACGCGGCTGGTGCACAAACGAACAATACCGAAAAGGTTATGGGAGGAACACGGATGAGGGAAGAAGGATACGCGAGGCAGGGTTGTTGTCCCCGAGGAGCAATCGACTTCTGGTGAGTGGGCGAGGTGTACCTTATTACAAGTTCGATTCTAGTGGTTACAGCTCTCGGTGGACCGTGTTGTAGATTGCTGTCTTACGAGTCTCGCCCTTTCCACCCTTCCAAGACGCGCGCACACATCATTTCCCGCGGCACCTTCCTTCTTCCTCTGTCTCACCCTTGTTTGGCCAACTAATTTGAAAGGGCGGGACCCGAGAACTGGGTCAAGAGTGTACCCTTTTCGTCGACTTTTTGCATTTTACCCTGCCTGACATTTGCAACAAAGTTGTCGGGCACGGGGCGTCGTGATAATCGGTGACCTCCAATTACGGGCGCCCGGCCAACCATG